TCCACGTAAGAGTGAAAACATATGGTATCTGTCTTTCTCTATATGACTTATTTCACTTAGCATCACACTCTCCAGTTCCATCCATGTTGCTACAAAAGGCCATATTTCATTATTTCTCATTGCTGCGTAGTATTCCATTGTGTACATAAACCACAATTTCTTTATCCATTCATCAGTTGATGGACATTGAGGCTCTTTCCATGATTTGGCTATTGTTGAAAGTGCTGCTATAAACGTTGGGGTACGGGTGCCCCTGTGCATCAGCACTCCTGTGTCCCTTGGGTAAATTCCTAGCAGTGCTATTGCTGGGTTGTAGAGTAGATCTATTTTTAATTTTTTGAGGAACCTCCACACTGTTTTCCAGAGCGGCTGCACCAGTTTGCATTCCCACCAGCAGTGCAAGAGGGTTCCCGTTTGTCCACATCCTCTCTAGCATCTATAGTCTCCTGATTTGTTCATTTTGGCCACTCTGACTGGTGTGAGGTGATAGCTGAGTGTGGATTTGATTTGTATGTCCCTGATGAGGAGCGACATTGAGCATCTTCTCATGTGCCTGTTGGCCATCTGGATGTCTTCTTTAGAGAAGTGTCTATTCATGTTTTCTGCCCCTTTCTTCACTGGATTATTTGTTTTTCGGGTGTGGAGTTTGGTGAGCTCTTTACAGATTTTGGATACTAGCCCTTTGTCTGATATGTCATTTGCAAATATCTTTTCCCATTCCGTTGGTTGCCTTTTAGTTTTGTTGATTGTTTCCTTTGTGGTACAGAAGCTTTTTATCTTCATGAGGTCCCAATAGTTCATTTTTGTCAAGTGATGATATTACCAGGTTTTTCCCTCTTTTCTCCCTGACAGATTTTAATGTAATTATTTATTTTTTAATATTTATTTATTTTGAGAGGGGGGAGGGACAGAGAGAGGGAAAGAGAGGGTCCCAAGCAGGCTCTGTGCTGTCAGCACAGAGGCTGACACAGGGCTTGTTCCCACGACCGTGGGATCGCGACCTGAGCCAAAATCAAGAGTCGGACACTTAACTGTGTGAGCCATCCAGGTGTCCCTCCTGACAAATTTTTAAAAACCACTAATTTGATGTTGCAATGATGTGAATACGCGTGACACATCTGCTTCTCAGAAGCATGTGATTTGTGTGTTCTTACTGAATTGCGGCGGGTCAGCAGGTGGAAGCGTCTGACAGGGCAGGCTCGCCACACTCCAGGCTTCTCGGGGCGCACGGATGGACGGATGGCATGGGGGCCTCGCGGTGGCAAGGTTCCTGTTCAGTAGTAGCCTGCGCTCCATAGAACAGCTAAGCATGGTATCACCTTGTGTCCTCCAGAGGAAGACTTCGATGAGAACTTTCTCTCAGAAGCGAGTACCAGGAGACATTTTTTGCTTCTCTGGAGCATTTAGCACGTGCACTTTCTCTGGGGACCGCCCCATATCCTGACCTTCAAGCACCTCCCTTGTCGATCCCCTGTGAGGGTTGCCAAGTCTGGCAGCTTCCAAGACTCTTTTAGGGCCCTGGCTTTTTATCGCTATATTC